GGGCGCTCTGAGCGCTCGCTCAGCGGTGCCGACCCGGCTCTCTCCGTCTTTCCAGGGCCGCGATGCCTGCCAGGTTTCACCCAGCGGGGCCGCCCGGCTAGAAGCGAGCCGCTGAGGCCTGGGACGTCAGCGCTGCGGTAAGTCTGACCTCTGTGCGGGCCTGCGCGCGGGTGGACGGTGCATGCAGGTTGCACCAGACAGCGCAAGTGAATCTGCTGCAAGTGAGCTTCCTAGTCCTGGGGTAGTTTTTCTCCTCTTGGCGTGTGGAGAGAGGTGATCCCCAGGGCCGTGTGTACCAGGCTCTCTGAGCTGCGCTGGGGCTGCAGCCCTGTTGGGTGTCTCCCCATATTTCTGGTATACTGTGGCCTGCACTTGCTATGTTCTTCCTCCCCCTCTTTCCTGCATCTGGGACACTTCTGGCACCCGTGCCTCTGGGCAACCCTCTGTGGGGCTAATGTGTGTCCTCCCTGGCCTTGTTACGGCCTTTTGCTCTCCTCCGGTCTTCTGACTTGATTTTTAAGCCGTCTGAGCAGCAAGTGAAATTCTCGCCCTGAGCTTTAAACCTCTTACTCTTCTGAGATGGAAGGTGGGCCTTTGTCCTGGTCCTTTGGCAGCCTCTTTTTTGGAGGAAGATAATCTACTTAAGGAGATCTCTTACCTGTGTAACTTTGCAGTGGTGGAACAGGTTTGGCAAGGAGAGGATGCTCAATTAACATGTTGTTTGGCTGTGCACTGGCTTGCAGGGACCAGGCAGCATTTGAAGTAAGTGAACTGAGGAGGGCATGGGTGGAGTGCAGTGAAGATGTGAGTTGGGGGGGCTGGAAGTGAATGGCAGATCTGCCTTCCTCTGAGGGATGTGGATGGCAAGCAGTCTCTACCTGAGCAAAAGGGGAGATTCTCCTGCATGTTGGCACAGGAATAGAAAGGGGTCAAAGCGTCAGGGAAAATATTTTTAGAAACGAATCTTGTCGTTTGGGGATAGCTCCTCAGATTTTGGAGTTTCTGACTCCACTCTTGATCCCCCTGAAGTTGTCAGGAGTCGGGCAGTGAAGTTTTTCCAAAGTGGAGCACGCTGCAGATCCCTGCAGGAGAGGCAGCTCCGTGTTCAGCCGTGCATAGCAGGCAGGAGTTCAGTGTTTGCTTGTTTGCGTGTGGCCTGTTACAGTGTTTAGCCTCAGTGCTGTGGGGGATCAAGAGTCATGCAAGAGTCATCTGCCTTGTCTGGTGTGCGCTTGGTGTATGTGAATCAGGTGTCAGGCTTCAAGGGAAGAGCTAAAAAAGGAGAGGCTGTGGGTAATGATGGTGGTTTCTTGTGGGAGGGGGCACCTCGTTATGGGTGAGAGGGGATCTTCTGTTAGCGTCTTTCTGGAGAAAGGTAGGGGTAGGCCAGCAGCTGTCTGCTTCGGCTGAGAGGGCTGGAGGGGGTTTTTTGTTTATCTTTTTTTTTTTTTTTTTTTTACCTTGCTGCTTTGGGTGCTTTCGAGGTGGTGAGAACATCTGTGCTGAGGGACAAAGTCCGCCTGGCCCTGTGGAATGTGGGAAACCATGCTAGTTTGCTCAGATAAGGGTGAAGACAGGGGATCCTGTTGCCCTATGTCACGGCACTGGCGCATGCTCTGGGAGTGATTCTCTGAGGTGCTTGGGGCTCAGCCTTCCAGAGGGAAGAGGGGATTCACAGACCTGTGCAGCTGCACTAAATATCCTGGGGAAACTGAGCACCTGGGTGGCTGGAGAGGGGTATCTCAGTTTTGAAGTTTGTCTATGAGTTGCTTTCTTATGGCCTTCCAGTGAACCCGCGTTAAACTGGGACTAAGACGCTCTCTTGCCTCCTCATCCTCTCTTGAGAGCACTGGAAATGCATTAACCTGACACTAATTGTTACTCTGACTGATAACAGCAATTAAGGCCTGTAATCTGAGATCAAGTCTCTGCTATGTGGAGTGTTGTAATTGCTGCCTGGGGGAGCTCTCTGTTAAATACCCTGAGCTGGGAAGCTGAGAGAAAGCAGTGGGATGCTCCCAAATTAGACGCGCTTTCAGAAGGAGGCGAGCATGTGCCAGGCTCTCCGGCTGCAGGACTCTGTCTCTGCCTGCTTCCCCTCGGCCTTGCTGCGTCTCTGCAGTGGCTGGGTATTAAGGAGGACCCTTGGGGGGACTGGGTAGAGGGCAGCTGAAGATGTCTCTAATCTAGGCCATGTTCAGAAATGGATCTGCACCTCTGGGTTCCTCTATGACCTGCCCACAGGGGTAGTAGGTTGAACACAAAACTGCTAGAGAGACTAGGAGGGCCTAATGATGTCTAGCTTCGCTACTCGATCCAGGAAGTCTTAAAGCCTTGCTGGCAAAGCGGCTGGAAGCTGAACGAGGCTGCCGGTGCCTTTCTGCAGGCAGTAAGGCAGCTGGCTGCATGTCTGTGACTCCCTCCAAAGTGAGTCCGCTTCTCAGCTCTTGGTCTTGTTTGTCTCAGTAAAGCTTTATTGCTGTCCGCCAGTCATGACTCGAGTCCTTAGAAAGTAACAGTGCAGTCTAGAGGTGCTGGAAACACATCAGCAGCCTCCAACTGGGATGTGGGAGCTCTGAAATCAGTAACAGTGGTAAATCCCTGAAGGCTGTCAAAGGCATGTGCTCTCTGTGCCTGGGATTAGCCTTCCCCAATGCAGAGGAGTTATGGCTGGAAAGCAGCAGCATGTAATTCTGTCCTGCTGCCCTGCTTGGGGAAAGCACGACTGCATCTCCCTGGGGATGTGCTCTTAAACAGACAAGGTGAAGAACTGAGCATCAGTGAGACAATGCTTTTTCATTAGCCACCCTAATCAAAGTGGACAAACGTCTCGTTTTTTCACCTTTCACCTTCACTGCAGACCCAGTCATCAGGCTCATGGGAGGAAGGAGGTAGATCCCCCCTGCCCCCATCCAGGGCCTGTTGGACCCACACTGCCCCATTGTGTCTCCCCCAAATTTGCAGGCACTCCCTAGAAACGTCTTAAAGTGATGCTGTTTGGCAGTAGTTTGACGCTACTTGTCTAATAGATTGCATGACCCTAGGGATGCTGCAGAGAAGAAGATTTTATCTGCCGGGGAAGGGCCCCTGATCAGTGAGGACAGTCTCTGTATTAAACACCGACCACCTTTGCCGCTAGCCCAGGACAGCCTAAATAGGGAAAGCGATGTGGTGAGTGTAAGAGCTGGGCTGGGCTACTCTAGAGGCAGGCTGAGGGCATTTTCACTGAGCTGGGGGCTAACCATGCCTGAAACACTGTCTCGGACTGTGAGTTAATTTAAGAATTACACATCTGATCTGCTGGTGAGATGCTACTTCATCACTTCCCCACTGCATGGCAGCATCCTGCTACCCAGCCTTCCTCAGACAGGACTATTGCACAGGGGCACTGTGGTGTCCAGCTTGCAGTTTTGGCATCCACTTCTCAGAAGCTTTCAGGCTCTTGTGTATCCCGCTGGATGTGGCAAGGCCATGCTCATTTAGAGCTGTTACTTATTAAAAGAAGGGCTAGGTGACGACCCTGTCGCTGTCCCTTCAGCTCTTGGTGACAACTGTGACGCAGCTGGTCTTAAGAGGTCACTCATTTTCCCCCACTTAATGATCTGCTGTAGAAAACAAGCTTTCATTGCTTGCTCAAGTGTCAATGGAACATGAATATTAATGAAACCTTGGTTGTCCTGTGGTGCTAACTGTCACACAGCCATGGAGGGCTCATCTGGAGCTGCTGAGCAGTGCGGGGAGCTCCTTGATGGAGCTCTAATGAAGTGTTCGTGAACTCTGCTCTCCAAGGTGCAGCTCGGGCCTTTGAACCTGCAGGCTCCTGGCATGGCACAATAAGGCTGGCTTGGCTTTTTCCCCAGGGCTAGGCTCCTGCATAGCAGCGTGAGCGTTTACAGGAGAGAGGCTCGCAGGGGTGCTTCAGATACCACTGGCATGGGAGGGTTTGTTGGTTGCAACGTCAGGTGGAAAATAGTCTGGTTAATGGAACCTAACATCACCTGAGGCTCCGAACTGGGGTCGGGAGGGGAGGGCAGATGCAACACGACATCTATTAAACTGGCCTCTTCCTGCTGCTGAAACCAGCTGGGAATCAAATGTAAGGTTTGGGATGACTGGCTGTTGTCTGTTACGTGCACAAGAAAAGAGCATAATTTTGAATCTGTGGGAAGTAGGCTGTGCTAATCTGAGCAAGTCCCTTCCTGCTTCTGTTTTCCAGGTTTTGGAAAGTGGGGGTAACAATTGAGGCCTTCCATATAAAACAGGTATCTTCAGAAAAATTAGGCTTTCTGCATATGAACCTGGAATATACCAGACAGGCAGTGCCTTTTGCCTTTAAACAGTTCATGTTTAATATACATGCTCTACAAATAACATGAATGGGAGCCCAGTTGCTGCTCAAAAGATGAACTTGGAGCGATGATCCCAGATCTGGGTCTCTTGCTCTGAATCCTCGTGGGTCTCCTGAAACAAGAGCCCAGGGCTAAGCTGTTTGGGGCAGGTGGTTGGTGACTCTATTTTCTTTATCTGTGGAAAAGTAGCTGTTTCACTCTTGGAAAAAGAGAAGACGGCGGGGGATAAAGTGGAACTGACTTGTCTTAGTTCAGTTACAGCAATATCTTCTTCCCCTGCCACCTGGGGTTCACTGCCCATAGAGATCCTGGGGGCATTGGTTGTACTACTGAACATCCTCCCTCAAAAACCTCTTGAATCAGCACCAGTAGGAGTTCCCCCCCTGCCACCCAGGCCCCCTTTGCTGAATTGGATTTTGCCCCAGGCTATGTTCCTGACAGCCTCCTGCTACACAGAGGGACTTCCAAACCCATCTGTGATCAAAAGGAGCATTGCCTTTCTTGCATATCCTGCCAGGTATGGCACAACTCTGCTCGTTTAGGCTTAAAAAGTGATGAATGCTGGCCTGTGTTGTCTCCAAGCTATGGCCGTTGCAGGCTGTTGTGTCTTAGCAGCATAGAAAGGTCTCAGTTCCCAAAGCCTTGTGTGCGTTCTGTGAAGTCGCTCACTTCTTTTATGCGTCACACCCAAGGATGAAATGCAAAGGCAGAAACTAATGGCCACGTTAATTATATACACGGTGTCTGGCTACACCAGTGAGACTGGTTTCCTTTTACTGTAAGCGCTG